TGATGTACCTGTGAAACACCTGATGTACCTGTGAAACACCTGATGTACCTGTGAAACACCTGATGTACCTGTGAAACACCTGACCTCTCAGAGCTCGTCTCTGACCTTTGATAACGAAGGCCTCGGCCAGCAGGCGCAGGTGGTAGGTGGGCTGGTCCTCCTGAGTCAGCTCCTCCAGGCCCACCCTGGCACACATCCCCTGGGCGTCTCGGTACCGGGCCTGGACGTAGTGGACTTTGGCGGTCAGGAGCAGAGCTTCGTTCAGGTACCTGGGCTGGAGGGTGACAGGATGGACAGACCTGACTGAAGACACTGAGGACATTTATCTGTGGGACCATCTCTTCAGGGACTGACCGTGAGGAGACCTCTGCTCAGGATGGTGTTCAGGTGACCTTTGACCTTTGACAGTCTGGGCTGAGTCTTGTCCATCAGAGGGGTGGAGCTCCGTAACAGCTCCATGTTCTCCAGCAGACACTCCTCCAGCAGGACCTCAGCTGTCAGCAACATCCCATAATCATCTGGAGGAGGAGTTAAAGGTCATCAGTGGGAGGAGCTTAGGTCAAAGGTTTTATTACTAAATACAGGGTCTGATCCAGAACCAACAAACAGACAACAACACCAGAGCTGTTTGTAAACAAATATTTATAAAGTATCTTTGGTACAAATCAGAACCTGTTGTTTTTCCTCATCGGTTCTGTCAGGATGAACCATCTACAGCAGGTAAGATAATAACTCACAACCTTTACTCTGAACCACGCCCTAAATATCTGGATTGTCCCTTTACTGCTGGTCTGTCCGTCCAAAGTCCAGTTTGGGTTTGGTTTAAGTGAGTCCAAAACATCTGGTCCAAAACAACAGAAGCTTTCATAAAAACTGAGTTATTTTCCTCAGAAATCAGTTTATTTATAGAGTCAACAATAAAAACAACTTCGCAGAAGGTTTAAAGTCCCTCTGCTCTGGAAACAACAACAACAACAACAAGAAACAACAACAACAATAACAACAATAACAAGAAACAACAACAATAAGAAACAACAACAATAACAACAAGAAACAACAACAATAAGAAACAACAACAACAACAAACAACAATAAGAAACAATAACAACAACAAACAACAATAACAAGAAACAACAAGTTTAACCAAAAGAAACAACAACAATAACCATAAGAAACAACAATAACAAGAAACAAGAAACAATAACAAAAATAAACAACAACAATAACAACAAGAAACAACAGTAACAAGAAACAACAATGACAAAAAGAAACAACAACAATAACAAAAAGAAACAACAATAACAAGAAACAACAACAATAACAAAAAGAAACAACAACAATAACAACAAGAAACAACAACAATAACAACAAGAAACAACTATAACAAAAAACAACAACAATAACAACAAGAAACAACAATAACAAGAAACAACAATAACAACAAGAAACAACAACAATAACAAAAAGAAACAACAACAATAACAAAAAGAAACAACTATAACAAGAAACAACAACAATAACAACAAGAAACAACTATAACAAGAAACAACAACAATAACAACAAGAAACAACAACAATAACAACAAGAAACAACAATAACAAGAAACAACAACAATAACAACAAGAAACAACAATAACAACAAGAAACAACAATAACAAGAAACAACAACAATAACAACAAGAAACAACAATAACAACAAGAAACAACAATAACAAGAAACAACAAGTTTAACAACAAGAAACAACAATAACAACAAGAAACAACAATAACAAGAAACAACAAGTTTAACAACAAGAAACAACAATAACAACAAGAAACAACAATAACAAGAAACAACAAG